CCTTGAAAGTAGCATGACCTGGGGGATGCCTCAGTGCCCCCACATCTCAAGCTGTGCTGCCACGAGACGGATGTAATTTTCCCGACTAGCTTGAAGAAGAGGCACCTTGCAAGATGAGGCCTGCATTTGGCAACTGTGTAGACACAGGTGACACGAGGGAACATCCTGGTCATCTCCAAGCAGCTGTTGATCCCCTAATACTACCAGAGGGAGTAAAAGCTCACCTTCTAAGTGTGACTAGACACATGGTAGGGAGAGGCAGCATTATAGCTACTCCCCATCGTTGATTCCCTTCAAAGTCAAATGCAGACTCAATCCTTAGCACTGAAAAGCTCTCGGTGCTCTGGAACCGCAGGAGTGTCCCCATCTCTAGTGGGGCTTGTGGAGCTACCACAGCAGTATTCCTGTAAAACTTGACCCTGGTTCCAAGGTCCCAGCCACCTCAGAGTGCTCCTTGGGGCTTCTCATGCAGGGCAGAGCCATGTGTCATGACCTTCTCCTCCTTTCCACGAAAGCAGCAGGATCTCTGAAGTGAAGGTGAGTCCAACTCCTTCCTTGAGCCCCCAAAGAAGTTTTCAACACTGGGCCCAAGAAACTTTCCCTGGGTTTCACACAAAAGAAATGAACATGGTTCTCCTCTTCAGTCCCTCGGGGGAAGTATGGGCCTGCTGCTCACTTCCTGAAAGGGGCGAGTTTATGGAAGGTATGCCAGAAGAGGGAAGGCTTTCTCTTAGGTTCTGCCAGGGCAAACACCTGTTGCTAGGGGATGCTGGTAGGCACAGTGATGTGGCGCTGGTGGAGGGGATGCAGGTTCTGGTGCGGCGGGGCAACAGGGCATCCACTATAGTCTTTTGACTTTCCATGTCCTGCCTTCTGAGCATTTAACATGGCGAGTTTATTTTGATTTTCTGAAATTTCCATTCCCATCTCCTCGTCCTCCTGCACCCGACGCCTCTCATCCGCACAGGCCTGCAGCCACTTTGCCTTGTCTTCCTGTTTTTTGGCACAGAACAAGTGAACCTCGTCTGTGGTCCTACTGACCAGCTTAAAGGCGTTTCTCACGTTGAGGTTCCAGTCCTTGTCCCGACCATCCTCCACATCCACAAGCTCCATCTCGTCCATGTCCATGCGATCCTTGTAGTACAGCATGTCCCTGCATAGCAGGTCCTTCTTGCAGGACACCAACTGATGGTCAAACAGGAAGAAGGTCCGCTGCTGGCTCTTGCCCTGCTTAGTGATTTTGGTCAATTCCCCTGAATGAATCAATTCTGAGCTTCGGTCTAGAATATCCAATCCCTCCCAGCCCACAATGGACACCTGCCAGCGAGCAATCTTGTCGACGCTCTCCAACTTCCGTTTACGCTCATTGATCAAACAGGCCACATTCTTCATGGCCTCATAGGCTGCCTTTATATTGTTGTAATCACTGTGCTCCTGCGTGGTGTACTTGAGCAGCTCTGCCAGCTGCAGAGGCGTGAGGAGGAACCCATCCAAGGCGATGTCAATCATCTGCTGGAGCAGGCGGCAAGCTTCGAAGAAGTGCCTGTACTTGCCCTGCTTCATGAGGTTGGAGAGCTCCACGCAGGCTCCTGGGTGGTTGTTGCAATACTCGGAATAGATGGCAAAGCCCTCTTGATGCTGAAGGAAGCAGGATCCTATTTCACTTAAGTGAGGTTCCTCTTTGTTATACTGTTTCTCAAGGTCTTTCAGGAACTTACTTTGGAACTTGTAAATGTCTTCAATGTTTCCAAAAATAGTGGCTAGCTGTGCAACAGTGAACATTCCCGTGTGCTTGCGGCACTGTCGAATATAGCCCTCGCAGATGTCCTTGA